CCAGGCGATTGAACTCCAATTTTTTAAGATCTCTTCCCGAAGGTGTTTTTCGTGGAATTCCTAATCTACGTGTTCTGTGAGTATTTACGTGACTTATAAATCCGGCGTTTATGGCACTTTTGTGACTTTAATCACATGTACTAGTTATAGTAATGGAAGCCACTAGGAAATCAAAGTAGATATTGTCATAAAGTCTTTTACTGAGCCCGAGAAAATTCGAACAACCAAGGATTGCATACGATTTTATCTACGTATCTTATTGGCCAAGAGCATGTCACAAACTTTCCCGACCACACACAGAACTCAAAGTGCGGCAATCTTGCATTCCTCTCGATAACTTGAATTTAGTGGACATCGATGTGATTTGTTTCAGTGATTTGGGGAAAAACCTTCTACAGAGACCAATAAGAGGAATGTTGGATGGACTATCAACCATAGAGGTTTTGTAAGTATCAGATTCTAAACGACAACTTACCCACATAAATTCTGCAATTATTATTTTTTGACATAAAGCTTCAACTTCGTTCCCAGGGCGTCCCCTCTTTGAAAGGAAAAGCGCCCTGGAAACGAGGTTGATGAAGCTTTTTAACTGCAACAAGAGACAGCCTTCATTAAACCTTTTTATTCATTTCCAGGGGCCTGCGTTCAAACCAGATTGAGCGGCTGGAATATGGCGTTTTTGAAAACAAGAGTAATATGACCCATTTGTAAGTTTCTTTTACCTTCATTTATTGGGATTGTTTGGTTTTTGGCTACTAGTGATACATAGAGCTTCACAGGGATACAACTTAATATCAACAATCGACTCTTTGCTGTGACCTGCTTCGAGTTTTCCTCTTCAATAAAATATTGATTATAAGATTAAAAATTATCTAGGGATTTTTCTTTTACGAGCTTAGTCACTGACAAAAAAGCGTTTCTTCTGTAGCATTGAATCATTACTTTTGGAATTGCTTATTTTCAATTAGATACCTCCAGGATAACGAACTAAAAAAACTACCAGAAGGCCTGTTTGAAGATCTTTCAGAGCTGAAAGTACTGTAAGTATTTCCATCCAAGCGGTAGTTTTCAATGAAGAAAGAAACGAATAATGTTAAAAGTGGGAATGATTGCCTGTTTTAAGAGGCCTTTTTTTCGCATTCCTGGTAAATAATGTTCCCGAGAGGCTATAGTTTTTTCTTACCATGTTTACGCTCACTAACGAGAGATCAACAATTCTTGAATTCAATCAGGGAAAATGTCAGAAAAAGAAACCGATTTGACTGTTTTTTTTTTTTTCGGCTAAGATCTGAAACTCTTCCCACCCTTCAATTTTCCGGGCTTTCAAGAAACGGGAATCGACAATTAATAGGAAATTCTCCTTTATAGCTGCCCTAGATTTCCAAGTAGGCTAATTGACAGAGTTTGAGGTTAGATCAAGCTAACACCCTTTAGCGGATAGCAATGTAAATTCCTTCCTCTGACATACATACTTTTGCATGGATACTCGTGGAAGAATTTGCAGATCAATCCTGACACTATTTCATCTCACCTTGAATAACTGGAATCTCCACAGAATCCATTTCTACTCAGTATACTACGTTTTTTCTAAATAGCTCAGCCAGTTGACATAGACAACTGAAGCGAGCATCATTCAGATCCTTATCAATTCTTGGAAATTTATTTTCAACTTGATTATTATCCTTATCGCGCTTTTCCTTAGAGACCTTAGTGGTAACAAGCTGACAACAGTCTCTAAGGGAACCTTTAAAGGACTCAAGTCACTGGAATACTTGTAAGTTGACCATTTATCAATTGCTAAACTCTCTAGCACAAAAGCTTAGTGGTAAGCTCTAAAACTGTCTCAAATCCAATCTTTGATATGATAAAACTATTCATCTTTACATTTATTCCTTTCACAGATAATGAACTCTATAGAGTTG